ATGAACCACAGATAAGATTTTGATGAGTAAAAACTCAGACTGAACAGTGGGGGCAACAATAAATAGATCTCTTTAAACTCAAAATTTCAAGCAACATACAGCATCATTCAGTTTGTTCATATGTAAAGGAATTAATAATATTAGTAGAGATGATCTACGTAGTGGCAGGGCACTCATCATAATGAAACTGACTTCGAGATATCATGTGTTATCAACATCCCATTGTCAAAACTCAGAAGGCATGATTATTTTTCTCTTTGCGGTACTTATCATAACATGAACACTCGAGTAGCAAAATTCCCCCCCAAAAAAAGAAGAAGATAAAAATCCGGAACACTAAGATTGTTAATCTTTTGAGCAGCAGATTACCCAATGGATAAACTACCCTGATTGGAGAAAAATTCTTCAGGATGGGCGCAGTCGCTCAAATTCAACAGATGTTAACACAACAGAGAAGCATAACTTCAAATGCAATATATCAATACATAATTTTAGCTATCAAACTGATACAACTTACAGTTATATTCAGTCCAACCAATAGCCTGCTTCTCAAGATCATACAAGACTAGCTTATTTGAGAGAACCAAATCTGCAAGCACAACCAGAAGTTTACCGCAAATATTATCTTCAAGTTCAGAGAGATCCAAGGACACATAAGAGCATGATTAAAAGAACTCACATGCATTTTTAATCAGATTATCACAGCAATTAACAAAAACAAAAAACCAGGTTTTGTACCACTTTGACTTACACCCAGGGTTAAATGCAGTACACTCAAATGGACAAGGACTACTCCATACAATGTCAAAATACTTATTTCCTGTATCTAATTTGTTTGGCACTCTTTTTTTTTGTCAGTCTCAAAAAGAAAAATCTCGTTGTAGGCCCCACTTGATGCAAAGAAACAATTTGGTACTAAAGGTAGTTTTTGGTTTTTTATGCACATTTAGCTTATGTATCAAAAGTCTCCGTTCTTTATTGAATACTATGTCTAGAGAAATACCCCCAAAAATTGGGACGGAGGAAGAATAAAGTTGAGATAGCTCCCTTTGCAAAATCGTGCTAGTTTAAGATATCAATAGTTGGCAGGTTTTACAACAGACAGCAGTTTAGATCTCATATGTGGGCATTCTCTTTCCACCAATCTTTTCTGTAACCATGAAGCAAAACAAGTGATATTGCTACGGGCGAATGTCTCCCATTCATTAGTTAGCTAGCGAAATTGATGATGTTGATAATGATGGATGTTTAAAGAGCATGAGTTCCCCAAAACATTGGGGTGCTTTGTGTTGCAAAATGACATCAACAGTGTGCAAATAACACAAGCCTAAGTACGTCATCAACGTGCAACTATTAGCCGTTGAACCTAATAGGAGAATGACAGAAATACGTAAGTGAAACAGAAATACAGAACAATGGAATTAAAGAAGCAGTCACCAACGGCAACCATAGAAGTACTCCGGAGTTATTACTCCTCTGCAGCCAAACTGAAGGGAAATTAAACCTAAATTTTCCCCAGTCCAAAGGCAATTGAACAATTTGATACTCTTGGCATTTGCAATCAAAACGAAATAAACATAAGTAGGAAAAACACACCTCCAAAAACCGTGAGGTTCCATTTGTCCCGAGATAGACTACCACTATTTTGCCATCCAATGCAAAATAAATCTTCCTAAAAAACGTGCAGAAATCAAATATCCTCTTGTGTTCAAACAAAAATAAATAAGCATGACCAACAATGAAATGAAATGGCAGGTGGAAAGAGGGGCAATTATATAGAAAAGGAACAATCCCACTTTGATTCGCCAAATATTACTACTTTCACCACCCAATTTGATAGGAGATAAAAGGCACAGCAGTAAAAATAGAATCCCTGAAACAGCAATCTCAGCTTCGACTCGGAAGGCGATAGCCTCCAACTTCAGATGACTTGGTGAGTGAAGATTTCTAACTATAAATGCTAAATTCAAAGAAAAACTGGGTGGCAACCAATTTCAATTCAAAAATTACCTCATGTCATAATAATACAAACTCATTATCTAAACTAAACCAACTCACCAATGTAATGAACATCTCCTGCTAAGTTAGTGTTGCAATTTCAAAATCTTACAATCTATAAAAAGCAAAAGAGAAACTATCTTAAAATGCATTAAGCTAGATATCCAAACAAGATACTCATAAGTACTAAAAGATTCAATAGCTGACATCAGAGAAGGAATACTGCAAAGGGCCAAGAACCTCCCTAAGGACCAAGAAGCTCCACTTGTAAACACTTTGCAAATTTTGAGGTTGAGATTGCAGAAAAAGAGGTTTTAATGAATCATCAAAGAAAATGAAGAGTAAAAGCATGAGATTACATGTCATTATCCCAAAAAAGAGAATAATACATGCTTACACCTTAGAAAACATGGGCAACAAACTTTGGCTCTGAAAATATGAGGATATAATTTGGTTAAAGCGCTTCAAAGCTCGCCCATTTTCTGCTTGTTTGTTGGATATATGCTGCTTGGATGTCCTTCACATTACATTCACAGCATGTCGTCTACTGGTATATCATAACCAGAACTACTTTCTTCAACTAGTGCAGTAATAAGAAGAAACTTTTCTTAAAATCAGGAAAGATGATTGTTTAGTCAAGAAGACGAGCATATATCTATATTTTACTCATCTCTCTTTGATATTTGTTAAGTTCAAGGAGTGAGTTGTTGTCTCCTTACCTCACGAGCTAATTTTTTGGGTTGCTTTAGTCCATATTTGGCCAAAATCATACGCAGCCCTCTAAATGACTAAACTTGAGATACGGGAGGGGGAATTTAAGGCCTCATTTGTTTGCACTTAATGGAGGTCTGAATATTAGTCATTCAGATCTCAGACATTAAGTGCGTTTGTTTTTAAAGTCTGAATCTTAATTATTCAGATCTTAATCATTAAGTATGTTTGTTTTTTTTTACTTCACAACCACTTAATGGGGCCTGAATAGGTTTGTATGATTAAGATCCATAACAGAGACTTAATTTCATTAAGATGCTATCATTCATATTCATTATTAATTATCGTCACCACCTACCATTATCAACTACCACCATGCCGCCACCACCACCACCACCACCACCACCATACTCAACCACCATAATTCCCAATCATAGCCGTCACTAAAATCGACTACCACCACCCGCCATCCGCACCACTCCCACCACCATCATTCCCAACCACAAACACTCATCCACCTCAACTACCACAACTAACCACCCCATCACCACCAACAATCATAACCGACACTACCCATCATTATAAACTACCACCACCCACCACCTCCTTCCTCAATCACAACTACCACCACCACCCACCATTATTAACTATCACTCCTCACTACCACCATCCTCAATCATAATCGCCACCACTGCTAATCCCACTAGCTACTACCCTGAACCACTACCATCAACCAAACCTACGACCAACCACCGTCTCTAGTCGGCATTCACAAGCACCACCGTTAGCCTTCACCATCAGCAACTACTATATTTTAAAAAGATTATATATTTTATTGATAGAATATTAGACTAATTAGTATTTCATTTGAATTTTATGTTTATTAATTTTCAAATAAAGATAAATTTTATACATTAAGATATTAAAAATCAAACAGTCTTAATCATTTAGTATTCAGATCTTCATACACATCTTAATATTCAGATGTGTATTCAGATTTAGATGTCTTAGTCTTAATACACATCTTGATATTCAGATGTGTATTCAGATTGACGTCTTAATCTTAAAAAAAAACAAATGAGGCCTAAGTGTCTCACATTGTTGAGAGAATATGTTGTTGTCTCCTCATATGATCATGGAGAATTCCTCACATCACGAGCTAGTTTTTCAGATTGAATTAGGTCCAAAGTCCATTTTCTTAAGATTGATTATTGACTTTCTTTTTTGATTGGTGAAGATCATTGTAGCAATGATGATTTGGAGGATGGAAATTTTTCTTAGAGGATGTTGTTGTCTCCTCATATGATCATGGAGAATTCCTCACATCACGAGCTAGTTTTTCAGATTGAATTAGGTCCAACGTCCATTTTCTTAAGATTGATTATTGACTTTCTTTTTTGATTGGCGAAGATCATTGTAGCAATGATGATTTGGAGGATGGATTTTTTCTTAGAGGATGTCAACAGACGACCCCAACAAGCTTGGGCTTGAGGCATGTTGTTGTTGTTTTTGTTGTAGTATGTCAGCAGAAGTTTCATATGAACCTATGCGTCAGAGTAATTGTTTGTTTTCATTTGCAGTAGTTACATAGGAAAAAGATTGAAACATGGAATCTACCTAGATTGCTGGGACATCATATAACTCAAATATGTCCAGATGATAAAAGGGAAGTTTCCACCTATTTCGCAGCTAAGTAACAAATGCACATCTACTGCTTTATAATTATTCAATGCTAAACAATTGGCAGTCTATCCTTCCAACAATTTGTTATGGCCCGACAACTGCTACACTTTTTTTTTGGATACATAAGATCGCAAATTTTATTGATGTAAACTGGAAAAAAGAGAATGCCAGTCAAAAGTACATCCAAAAGATTGGGGTCATTACAGGTTGCACAGAATCGTAGAAGCTAACAAAGTCAATCGTGTCTTGGGCTTCTAACAAATTAGCCAAGGTCATGTTGCACCAAAAACTAAGCAAACAAATACATTTGATTTTAAGCTTTACATTTTCTACATATATAATTACTCGCCAACTCCATTCTAAATAGACAAGACTCCAAAAGTCATAAAATTACTAAGTTAAACCAGGAAAAAGGAAAAATTGATACTTTTTTACTGGCTAAAAAGATGATTTGCAAAAGATAAGATACTTACATAGGGGAATAGATACTCATGTGGACGAACTCTTAAAGAAACAGAATTTTCAAAATGAAAATAAACTTGAGGGAATCCATCATCAACACTGCAAGTTGGAAGCAAGAGTTACATTCAAATCAGTTAATCTGAAGGGCTCAGGAGTCTGTAATAGACGGAAGAGAAACAATCAAGAACGAAGCATTACATATAAAGAAAAGGAAATAAAGCAAGAAAAAGAAAATTAAGGATCTGGTTTATTAACATAGTTCATCTCAGCATTGACCACTGGGGTGAATGAGTCCTGCATATTAGTAGATTCTTTTCTCTTATCTTTAGTTCCTTTTTCTTTCTTGACTAGTGATGAAACAGTCAAGATGAAATAACTAAATGCCGCAGCAGCTTATATCAAGTGGGTGCATGTTCAACAGATCAATATACAATGAAAATGATAGCTATTCTAATACCCCAGAAGTGCTAAAAAAATTCAGGCAAATTAATGGACTACAAATAGATCAGGTTACAAGACTGAAAGGTAGAAGTAAAATTGAACAATGCATCCATTTCCGTCCTATTTCCACTAAAATAGATAATCAATTTGGCATTAACGTAATTATGAAGTGACAGTTCTATCTCGAGATAAAAATGGTAGCCAATATCTCTTTAATCGGATAGAATGGTAAACAATTCCACATCTTTATGAATTATATCTCAAGAAGTACAATATAACATGTAAGAGCAGAACGACTCCAAATGCTACTGTTTCTGGATAAACAAGCATAAAGCATGAAGTATCTACCTGTTGAACAAAATACAAAGAATAAAATAAATTCATATCATCTATAGACACAGCAAACAACTAAGTTCCCTCAGTATGCACCATACCTTCCAGAGTAATCAAAGCACGTATACTCATCATGAACTGTACGTAATCTCAGATCAGGTTGCCAGGAGAGTATCTAACAATAATTAAAAGAATACAAATGTTTCAAACTTTTAGATTGAACATCTGAAATTCAAATTCCAACATTTATGATTCATTTAAGAAACTAATTGACCTCCAAAAAGGAGTAAGGGAGATAGCTGGCTACCTTTTTCACTAGTGGTCCATAAATCACCTCAGGAAGATAAGCCAATGTTGTTCCACTGTCAATTATAACTCCCTTGTTCTCTCCATTTGTAAATACATCAGCAGAAAAGTTTAGAATTTGATAACCAACTTCAACGGCTGTCATATTGACATTGTAGTGTTGCCTAAGTTATTTCAGGATCATGTCAGTATGAAGCATTAAACTCTTTTTGATATGCCGAAGTAAAGGGCAACGAATATAGCAACAACAACAACAACCCAATAAAATCCCACTAGTGGGTTCTGGGGAGGGTAGTGTGTACGCAGACCTTACCCCAACCCCGAAAGGGCAGAGAATATGTGATGCTGAATTACAAAACAAAACCTGAAAAGACGTGAAATTTTCCGGGAAGACCAATTGTATAAGAGTTTTTTAATAGACAAGTTATATGATGGATATACAGAGAGATTAACCCAAAAAAAGGTAAAAAGATTGACTATGTTAATAACTGAAGCTATATCAAGTGAGTTCATTTATTGTTACTTGCACGTATAGGAGATTTTGAGATCCATGAAATAGTTCCAGTAAAGAGGGCATTCCTCGGAAGGAACATAGGAACATGGTTCACAATAGAAGAATATTAATGACGCACAAGAATCATTCGACCACAGCTATAAGTTCTTTTAGTGAAATAGCTCTCTACTCCCGCAAAAAGGACCACAATGAATCTACTTGCGGGAATGAAAACATACACAAAGACATATAGCATAAACAATTAGGACTACTGCCCCATATTAACTCGTCTTTGTGTTGAAGTGTGTGACCATATCAGCTAAATTCTTAAGTTGTTAGAGAGTACCATTTATTTACATCATTATGTTTTCAACGTCTCCTCGTGTGCGGACCTGATTATATGTTTTATGGAAGAAAGCACGTGAAAATTCTTTTGACAATTGGTGGTAGTGAGACTTGAACGCAAGACCTCTTGCCTGCTCTAATATCATGTTGAAGCGTGTGACTGTCTCATCTAAAAGCTTAGGTTGTTAAAGGGAACGTACATTCTTATTTACTTAATTATATCTTCAACAGTAATAAATGTATGAATCAAGCTCATTGTTCACCATACAAATAATTCATGTTTTAGGGGTAAGGTCTGCGCACACACTACCCTCCCCAGACCCCACTTGTAGGATTATATTGGTTTTGTTGTTGTTGTATTCTATCACAGACAGGACCCTCTCTAGAGTAGTTGAAGAGCTAAATTTTACATTCTATAACTCTGTCATTCTGACTCTAAACGAGAACCAAGACATCAGGACTCAGAGGATGGACAACAATAAATGACTTAACTAATTATATTTTCCAGTAGAACAGGATGTCTGGGAATAAGCCAGTTCCAGGAAAAAGATTTTTACAAGTCCCTAGATATTACTCAAAATCGATATAATTATATACTCGGAATTTCTGAAGTGAAACTATGATGCAAAATTATGGTAAAATAAGGGCTCCTCTATTTTTCTTCTCTGATGAATAGGAATAAGGAAGGTGTCTCATCAAAGCCTTGAAAGAGAAAGCTAGGTTCTGAAATGAGGCAAATCAATGACAGACATAATTTCAAAATTTAAGTTGAAGACTTAAAAATAATAAACTAAAAGAATTGGTCTCCTAGGAAAATGCTACTGGTAGACATTGGGCCATTTAAAATTGTTTGGTGGTTGAAATATTAAAAGCCAACAAGAAAATATGCATTAAAACTACTAAAATAAATTAGAACCTAGTAGGACAATTCACATACTGGTTTGGTACTAATGCCGTCATGTTTACTTTCGGTTTAACAACGTTCCCAATGGCAAATATACCACCACCATTCACACCATCCAAGCAATGTGCAAACATTTTCTTCACTCTTCCAGATGAAGCCAGCTGGGAAAGCATGGATGTATTTGATTTCCCAAATCCCAGAACCCCATCAAGAGCATCATCCGAGGAAGTTAGATCTTCAGACTGTGTACCCCCACACCTGCGCGTACAAGAGGAAGAATGTCAATAAACTTATCCCAAGAGAAAAAAAAGGAGGAAATGCAATAAACGAATTAATAGAAAATGTGACACCTGATCCCAACCCAATCAAAGCACAATCATGGGGTCCAAATAAGAATGTACAACAGTTTCAAAACAAAAAGAAGATAACAAGCCCGTGTACAAGAAGTATACCAAAAGGTAGAAACCCTACAAAAAATAAACATGATTTTCTAGAAAGAACGCCCAACCTTATATACATAAAGGGACCTCATGGGTGCACCAAAATGCAGATAAAAGGCTATTCCTCAACGGTGCGAAACCAATCTCTACCCCTTCAAAAGCTCTCCTATTTCCCTCTTTCCAAATGAACGACATTAGTGCTAGTGGGGCAAACCCTCCATGCCCTCCGTCTTATCCTCCTTTTACCAAAATTCCAACTGAATAACATTTCTTTCACAGTGCCTCGCTATCACCTAAAGTACACCAAACCATCTCAGAAGTTCCCACCATAAACGAGATATTACCAAACAACGTAGAAGATGGTGATCCACGTCTTCACCGAGCCCTTAGACATATAACACCAACTGATGTTGGAAATTTTCCTCTTAGTCAGATTCGCAACTGTAAAGATCGCCCATCTTGCTGCTAGCCAGGTAAAAAAGCGCAAGTTTCTGAACATCTTAGGAATCCAAACCGAAAGGTAAGGCTATGCAAACTTCTCAAACCAATAGCTTCTCGTAATAAGACTTACAGAATAAACACCACTATTCCTCGACCCCTGCCTCCAAACATCACGGAAATCCAGTAAATTGCTTTGTTTGTGTTTAACCAAGCTTTGGCATTCTGTCACCTCGCAATCTTTCAAGCAGGGGCAGATCTAATGCAAGGTTTACGGGTTCCCGTGAGCCCAATAACTTTTGCGTAAACCCCATATTTATACTAAAAATTCATTAAAAGTATAAGAATATTTAGCTTGGACTTGGAACCCACGTCGTTGATCCAATTATTATGTGTATTAACTTGAGATCGTTGTAGGAACCAATAAGCTTAAAATTCTAAATCCGCCTCTGCTTACAAGTTCCTTCTAAATCTCAAATCCCCAGAACATCTTTATCTTGTAGCCTCCTGACTCGTTGAAATGTCATTTCCTTCTGGCATGAAATTCTGTAAATGTTAGGAAAAGTGAGTCTCAAAGTGATATCCCCACTCCACCTATGTCCCCAAAAGCTTACCCTCCTGCCATCGCCTACCCTTAAAGACACATTACTGTTGAACTCTTCTCACCCCTTGGAATATATTCCTCCATACACCAACATCCAAAAGGCATAGTGACATTTTATCCTCTAGCCCCCTTCCATAACCCCGTATTTCTCCACTATCACCTCTCTCCATAGAGCATTCTTCTCTATCCCAAACCTTCTTAAACATTTCCCTAATAAGGCCTTATTGAAAATCCTCAAGTCTTTAACCCCCAAGCCCACCCATCAGTTTGGAGATGTAACAATCTCCCGCCTCACCTATTGGAATGTTCTTGCCCCATCTTAAGAATCACATAAAAAAAATTCGTTGGGATCTTTACAGCTTTTCTGTGACATTAGCTAGTGCATATAACAGACATGAAATATGTAGGGATGCTTGATAGTGTGCTCTGAATAAACACTTCCTTGCCTCCTGTGGACAAGTATCTAATTTCAAACTTTCAAGTCACTTTTAGACACTCCACAGTACTGGATATCATTCTGGTTGATCCTTGTTTGAAGCTCCTACAAGCCCATGTAACCATTATGAAGAGCGCCAACCTTACAATTCAAAAACTGAGCTAGAGATTCAATATTCTCCACCCTGATAATTTAAGATGCTTTCATTGTTTCCAATCTCCGGAAACAATGAAAGCATCTTAAATTATCAGGCAACGTAATGTCATTAGATCTAGGCTGGTGAATATTTTCTACATTGTTCTAGTGGTGCAGCTCGTTTCACGTGCACTTAGCAATAACTTGGAGAAAGAAGATAAGAAAGCACCCAAATAGAACTTTATCAAGAATGGAGCTGAGAACTGCTACTTAAAAAGAAAGGGTTGAGACGCAGTCATGAAACAGTGAACATAGAGTCAAAAGACTCCAGCCAGAGAAGAATAAGTGAGGAACCCTCGCATCACCTAAAGCAACAGATTGACTGTTTGTCAAGACATTGTCACATAGACTGCATTTAGTTCACATAGGGAGAGAGGGACTATTTGATTCACTTCCCCAAGTATCCCCTTACCCAAACTCAAAGATGGGATTATTTGGTGAAATTAGGAGCAATTAGATAAGATTCCTGTGTTTCTGCTTTTAGAGGAATTAAAAAAGTGAATCGAGAGATGAAATCAAGAAAAGAGAATGTGGAGAAATGTGCAATCAAAGAACTCTATCTCATACTTCTTAAGCTAAACCAGGGAACTGACATTTCTCTCCTTTACTTCCCCTCTTTCTTATCCCCTGCAGCCCCATTAGAAATATCTCAAGATTCCTGAAAGGCTGAAAAAGTAAAGTTTTAATTTACTTCTGCTCTGAAAAGAAGGAAAATAAAGCCAAATCAAGATCAAATTGTGAATAATTCTAGAATATAGAAGACAATACGGGCATCAATAAGAAAAACTGAAAACGGAATAAGACGGACCCCTAAGATGATACCATGTTCTTCCTAGGACTTCCCCTTCAACTACCTAGACATCAAGTTTCATTTGAGAATTATATGATTTCAACAAGCTATTGACGAATTTTCTTGTTCTCAGAGTACATCCAACATATATCTTACCCAAAAATTACACTTCCATTTGATGATTTAGTTTGGAGATCACCAGAAACCTGGTCATATTGAACAACGTCCTCCACAAAGTAGCCCAAACTATAGCTTCCATCTCCATAAGTTTCACTAAAAAAACATGACGTGTTACCATAGCATCCTGATACTGAACCCTTATTGACATCCTTGCAGTACTGGTGTCCACAAGAAACTAATTTACCAGAGAGAGAATCCTTTCGATTGTAGAATGCTAGCTCCAGCTGCCCAAAAAAAACATTTAAATTAGAAATGGAGGAAGAGAGCATGACAGATATCTTTTCTTTTACTTTTTTTCTGGGAGCAAGCATATACAGAGAGCTGTATAAGGATATACAATCAAAAACATAAGAAACATACACCATGATATCCTCTTCTGGGGCATTGATCACATCCGATGCAGTTAACCCACATTATGTCGCTTCCCGTATCCACTTGCACATAATAAGCATTTGATGGTGTTCCAATCCCAATCTTGGCATAGTAAAGCCTATAATATATTAAAAATCAGACTACAATTATACTGGCAGGCCTAAAATGACCCAAGATGGTAAAACAGTAAGTGTTTCCCAGATCATTTTGCTATGTAAAATATTAGTTTGCGTCAAACTGAAACTTGCACAAAAAATCCATGGATCATTCTTCAATTTATTCAAGAACCATTTTCGTTAGCCTTAGGACTGAAATACTATTATTCAAGCATGGACTTCCATACCTGCACAAGATTATTCGATATCACCCATCTTCTTCAAAATTAATATCACTGCATGACTAGACTTTTTCCAAACATTTACATACTTATGAATTAAATCATCCAAAAACTTCCAGGATATTCGTCAAGTCAACAAGAAATTCAAAATGCAAAGCACTAATCAAGTTTCTATTAACATATTTAAGAAAAACTTTTCATGCAAAAAAAAAAAAAAAATAAGCACACATATGCCTATCATATCATTACTAGGGAAACATATATTCTCCAGCAGTTGGCCCTTCGGTAAGATGACGAGCTACCCTGGACTAAAGCATGTAGCTTTTCCACTATATGCTCAAGCAGCTACACTCCAGCATTAGAGTAAGGTACAACTTAATTCACACGCAAGCAAAACCACCATCAAGTAAGTGCCGACTTAACACAATTCACTAATTGAATTACGAATTATGTTCCCCTCTTCCAAAAACGGTACAATAGTTCACTAAAGATTTGGAATGCTAAATTCAGCGATCCAGACTATTATCCTTCTTTCTTTTTTTCTTTTTTGGATGACGGTGGTATCTGGGCCAGCTTGTGAGTACCTTGACTTTTCCACCGGGTAAATATTACCACCCACCAAGACTTAGGCAGATAGGAAGGAATCACCTAGTTTGTTTTGTCTCCGCGCATTTGTTACACCACACCCTTGGGCACAACTATTATCCTTCTGTTTTACAAAGACTAGCAAGTTTTGCCACTAAACTCAACTCAACTTTAGAAAAAACCATAAGTTAATATTTCCTTTCCCTCTGTAATTCAAAGTAGCTTATCTTAGCAAATTAACTACTATGAAATTAGGTAGAAACTCGCACACCCGATCCTATTCCCACAAACCAAAACAATCAATTTATGAGTTTAAGTTTTGTGCAGTATAAGAACTATTTACCCAATCAGGCCACTTGGAAGGTAATTGCAAGTAACCTTAGTCATTAAGCATTCATTGATAGCCTATAATACATGGTAAATAACTTACTATAACAGGTTAAATTACACTGATGGTGAAAAAATTGTTCGCACTGTCAGGCAAAACCAGTACTAGCAGTAAAGTCCAAAGTACAACACATCAAACTAACAGACTAGAGTATACAGTGGCGAAGCCAGAAATGTTTCTAAGGATGTTCAAACTTGAAAGAAGAAGAAAAAAATTCGGACAAAGGGTGTTCAATATAGGTTTTATATATCTAAAATCAATATTTTACTTATATACACAGTGTAATTTTTCGTAATTTTTCAGCGCCCTTTGCTAAAGGTGGCTTCGCCCATGAGAGTATATATGTCTAACAGGCATAAATAACATGCACTAAAGTACAAGTATATAAGACTGAAGTACACACTAAATCCAAAAATTACGGGTATGATAAAAAGGGCAGACCCGACGGAATCAGGACGGCCGGTGCCGCCGATAGGAAGGTCGACGCCGGCGAGAAGTCTGAGATGGCGTTTATCATCATGGGCTTTTAGGGCACTGAGAGTCCGTTCAGAACCACTAAACTTGTAATTCACTTTAATTACCCCTTCAATTCCTCCACTTGCACTTCCAATTATAATCAAAAGGAACAAAAACGTGTAACCCAGTTCAAATTTCACCATTGTTGAATTCACTATGAAAAAAATGGAGAGTGGAATTGAATTTTTAGGATTTGGGAGGAATATTATTAAAAAAAAAAACACTGAGAAAGGTGTTTGAGTATTGGGGGAGGGGGAGAGGGGTTGTTGACTGTTGACCTCTGAGGGTGGAGGTCAGTCTTCTATTGGTTGTTTTCGAAATGAACTTTTGGTACTAAAGCCGAAAGAGAAGCGTAAGGGGTCGTTTGGTAGACTGTATAAGAATAATGCTGAATATTATGTATTAGTAATGCTGACATTAGTTATGCTGAGATATTTCTTATTTATTGTTTGGTTTAATGTATTAATGCATTGCACAATTTCTATAAGAATTATTTGTTTACAAAAATACCCTCATAATCGGTCTATTACTTTATCTTTTAAAAAAAACATATGTTGAGGAATGTTTCTATATAAAAAGGTTATAAAAAATTATTTAATTTGTCTACATATATTGTAGTGTAGAACTTAATATTTATTTATAAAAAAAATATGCAAAGTATTTATTTATTTACTAGGGACATAATTTTATTTATCACTTTCTTGGATTATTTCAAACTTGCTTTAATATAATAACATATTTTAATCAAGCATAAATTTTGAAGGATAAATTTGTCTTTAACTAAGTTAATGCATGCATTAAAATCTATTGCATTGTTAATGCCATGGTTTCTTATGCATTAGTTATGCATAGGATAATACCAAATAGAGTGTATAATTAATACTTGCATAACTATTGCATATGTTCAAAAAGTGTACCAAACAAAGTATTACTAATACACAAAGCTAATGCATGCATTATTTTATCTAATGCATCCTACCAAACGACCCCTAATTGTAATAGTTGGAATCGCATTTGTTTGCGTTGTTCAATTGCATAAACGATCTATAAATCGTAGTTCTGCATTGCGATTTATAAATCGATTTGGATTAAGTAGTGCTAATTTCTCCCCTTTTAGAATGGCTCTTTGGAAAATTCAAAAAGAAATATTTTATAACTCTAAAAGTAAATAGCATTATTGGATTACGAGTTATTAATTAATAAACCACATTGCTAGATTGTGTTTTATAAGAAGTATTCTTGGATTGCTATTTATAAGTCGCATTGCTGGTTTGCGATATAGAAGTCGCATCTTCGATTGCGATTTATAAGTTGCGAATACGACTTATAAATTGCTTTCTACCATACTGCATCTCGACTTCAAACAATTTATTTTAACCATGTTAATAATTTCACATTATTAGTAAATAGAGAATTAAAATTGATTTACCAATGAATCACATTGTTCAAATGTGGGTATATGTCGCATTCCTCAAAAGCGATGTATAAATCGCAGTATTCTCAACATATCGATGTATAAGTCGCATTCTCCTAATGCAATTTATAAATCGTTTTTGTATAAGTCACAAGTCTTCAAATGCAATTTATAAGTTGTATTGCTATGCGGTTTATAGTATTGCTTACATAAATCGGTTCTTCAAATGCGCTTATAAGTTTCTGAAATACCACTATTAATTATATTTTCCAATATGCTTATTAGGGGTGCACATAGTTCGGGTTGGTTCGGATTTTACAATTATCAAACCAAACCAATTGTGTCGGGTTATTAAATCTAAAACCAAACCGAACCAATAAAACTCGGGTTTTTTGCTCTCGGTTTTTCTCGAGTTATTCGGGTTTTTTCGGGGGGTTTTCCCGGTAAAATCTCGTAGAATAAAACATATAAATTGTGCTCAAAGTATTTCTTTAGTCCTAGTATATAACTATGTATTTTCCCAGAAAATAATGCAAAATATGCGATATGTCATGGCATTATCCTAAAATATTCAACAATAAAGACAATAAAATTATGTAATATAAATATTGTTAGTTAAAAAGCCATAATAAAAATAAACATAATCAAAAAGTACTAAGTCATGCTAAAATAAATAGATTAACAAGGGAGTATTTAATTACATGACTAAACGCTAAAGAAAAAATAAAAATAGGTTATGCATTTTTATCTAAATTATTACAAAACAAAAAATAGATATTCAATCCATTCCCGTTCGTAGTATTGAATTGATTGTTTTTTGCTAGCATTAATATTGATTTAATTTTGGTTTGGGCTTTTGCTAGCACTATTTAATTTACTAATGTTAATGCCTATAAAACTTATTAGAACATTCAAAGTTCTAAGTCCAACCTTGAAATAATACCTCAAAAGATAAAATATGAAATCTTTTAAGAACTATTTATGAATTACATCACAATAAGTATATTTATATATTAAATATATCTAAAAAATTTATAATGTAATGCCGGGTTGGTTTGGTTTCGGTTTGACTTTCTTTAGTTAAAATCAAACCAAACCAATTATGGTCGGGTTTTTTTTTTCCAACACCAAACCAAATCAAACCAAACTATAGTTAGGTTTTTTTTCTTGATTTGACTCGGATTATCGGGTTAGTGCGGTTTGTCGTTTTCGTTTGTACACCCCTAATGCTTATCTCTTACACTAGTCGTTACCTCAATTAACTTATAATGCATGTACATTTCATATTTGTGTTTACCTATGCTAGTAGAATGTTTTCAGTCAAAATTGCAAATTTTCAATTATTGTTTGGTTCAAAACACATTTTCCAGTTTCATTATTCCCTAAAAATTGAAAAACATACATGTGAGGACAATATGCAAGTCATCATTTTGATCTAAACGAACTCAATTTACGTGAACAGTAAAAATGGAAGTTATGATAAAAAAGCTAGAGGCACCTACAACTATTATCATAGAAATAGAACTTCTGCATATAAGATATACCGAAGAAATTCAAAAATAGCCAGATTTACAGGTGGTCATTCAAAAATGGGCACAATTTCAAAAGTAATTGAAATTTAGCCACTTTTCATGTAAAGATAAATTTGAAAGAAAACATTATTCAAAATCCGAAAAATACTATATTGGAGTTCCAGTATAAGTATACTGGAACTCCAGTATATTATAATGGAGTTCCAGCATAAGTATACAGGAACTCCAGTATATTATAATGGAATTCAACATAAGTATACTGGAACTCCAGCATAATATACTGGAGTTCCAGTATAATATACCGGTCCAACATAATATGCCGGAAGTTCATACACAGGTGCTCCAATCTCCAGTATATTATGCTGGAACTTTTTGCGTGTTGGAGTTCCAACATAATATACTGGAAGTTCATACACATGTACACCGATCTCCAGTATATTATGCTGGACCGGTCCATGTTACAGCAAAATAGTGGTTATTTTTCAATGACTTTACAAACGTTGACTACTAATGAATGATCAATCCGAAAACTGACTAGTTCGTATTATTTTTACAAGATATACTAGTTCGGAGTAGCCCAGGCTAGGCCCCGGCCCAGTAACCATAGCCAAATCACCAAGTCACCAACTTCATAGGGAAAAGGAAAATTTGTTCACAAAAGACATGAATAGTTTTTGCAATGCATGTTTTCTAATATTTGCAATTTTTCAAGCCGGGACCAAATGCCATAATACAATAAATTCTCATGAATAAAATCATTGTTTATTCCATTTCGAACTACCGGTAGATTTTGCCTAAAATTACTGCAAAAAACAATAATTTTACCACCAAAGAGCATATTACTGTCCAAGAAAACTTTCAAAAGTAAATTAAAAGTCTCAATTATCTTCTTTTTTGCCATTGATATTTCATCCGATGCAATTAAGTTTGCATCTCGAATGTTGCTAGAGCAATAAATCTCTTAGACTGAACAATAGCTAATAAGGCACAATATAAAAAAAAATTGCATGTTCCTATAGGATCGTCAACAAAAAAACTCATACTTTATTGGAATATTATGTCTCATGGTTCAGCTTTTGTTGCAGTAATAGTTCTTCCTTAGTAACGGTTATGTTTCTTTCAAAGAATACTTCTCTTGCTTCTTTGGCAGTCATAGAAGCCTTGAAATTTTCAAGGATAAGTTTATAGTCATTATTGTTATATCCCATTATATAAGATGTTATTAAGACAATCTAAGACTTTATATCGAATACCTTTTGTTCGTATGTTGCTGCCACTATTCAAAGTTGTAGTTGTTACGAGCACAAAAGATATTTGTGATGGAAAACGGGTATGAACAGCGGAAGCATATAGCCAGGACTTTTTATGTAATATAGACAACACATAATCACAGATTTTGATTAAACACAAAATAAATACTAATCTCTTGAAGCGTGACCGCAACCACGAAATTAGCCTTCACGTTCAACGAATCACCATCAGTTCCGTAACGTATCAGCAGAACCACCACTGGATTACGATCACCACCCGTTCCGCAGTCTTCAAGCCAATAACTATTATGTCATTTTCATATGTAATTGCATATCCAAACCTAAAAATAGTTGCCATATGAGCTAGCCTAAATATAGTCAAATGAATAAGAACTGTAATATAACAACAAGATATCTTACTTTTCAACTTGTCCGTTCTAATACTGAAAAGTGCTAAACCAAAAATATCAAAACATGAAAATGGAGTAACAAGGGAAAAAAAAAACATGCAAAGATACAGAATTGTACTTACACCTATTGTGCAAGCTAACTGTACATACGTTGCACTATTTAAAAAGTTTTTCTTTTATATATTTACCCTGGAAAAAAATCATAAAATCAATTAAAAAAATCTCTGTGAATTTTATATTGTATGTAAGTGTGATGGCCAAAAGGTCATCTTGTGTTTTAGAACCCAATTTAGGGTTCTGATGCCTTCAAAACCTCATTTTCTTCCTCCTCGATTTGCATGTGCAGTCCGAACGCGTTTCCAGAAAGCCTTTATGTGAAAAATTGATAAATACTAAGTTTTGCCTTCAAAATTGATTTAAGTTGACTTCGGTCAACATTTTGAGTAACCGGATCCGGACCCGTATTTTGACGGTCCCAGAGGGTCCGTAGTAAAATATGGGACTTGGGTGTATGCGCGGGATTGAATTCCGATGTTCCTAGCCCGAGAAATAAATTTTTGAAGAAAATTGTTAAACTAAAAATATAATGTGTTTTAGAAATTGAGTAATGTTTGATCTTGTCGGTATCGGGCCCGTATTTTAATTCTGGAGCTCGATACAGATTTAATATGGTATTTAAGTCATGCCCGTAAAATT